ATTTGCCATTTATGGTTAATCCCCAGAATGTTCTCCCTTCCCCAGATTTCTATTGGCCCCAGTTTGCTGCATTGCTCCACCCCCACTACCCTATTGGTTTCCCCAGTCCCTAAGCAATGCCTTTGCACCATTTTCCCTTGTTCTGGTTGGACCCTGACCCTCAGCTCCGCCCCTGTCACCCTGTATTTAATCCTGTGCCCTTAGCTCATTTTTGTCTTTGTCCCTGGACCCATTCAGAGATTAAACCCTTTGGGATATCCAAACAAGGATCCATCCCTTGCTCCTTTGTTGCCAGTTAGTTCTATTGGTGGTGTGCTCCGGGCCCTGAAGGCGAGGTCGCGTTTAGGGATTCAGTGTGGCACACACCACGACAGTGAGTTACCAAAGCCTGAAGAATAATAAGAGATTCTTCTCAGACAGTGAGTGCCCTAACTGGAAAATGATGGTTAGAAGCACCTTGCTATAAGACTGGAAACATAGCAGTCAAATATTTAAATTACCTGCTCACTGGTTAAGTGTTTCATCTGGCTGCCCCACAAATTATTGTAGACTTATGATGAGTTTGTACTTGTGGAGATAACAATGAATTATTGGAATGCCACTTGGGATGAGGTCTCAAACACAGGCCCAGGTGTGCACAGACACACACTGCCCTCCCAGTCAAGGGACTGTATTTTAACAAGTGCTCAAGCAGACCAGATTTGAAGGAGAAAGTTTTACAGAAAAAGCAGTATCTACCATATGAAGGGTACCCAGATTCCTCTGGTCCTTCAAGATTTTAATATTTTTCTCCCTTATATATAATTTTTCCTTTAAAAGGGCATTTAAAGGGCCCTTCAAATGCACATCATGGCACACACTAGCCAAGGCTTTAAGCACAGCAAGGCAATGAAGAACAGTAATTTTCCTCTCTTGTGCAGAATCATTAAAACAGCTGTAAGCTACAATACTGGTCATCTTGCACATGCTACTAGTCAAACAATGCACACAACATAATGACTGTTTTTGCAAGCTAACAGCTCTGCTTTGCTGTGCAGCATTAAAACGCACTTGCCGCAACCACCCCCAGTGGCCAAGCTACAATGACTCTGCTGGGGTCCCCACAGAGCAGGAGGCCGTGCTGGGGCACCCCAGCTGGACAGGACGGCTGCAGGTGCTTTGAAGAAAGCCCAGCGGGCACAGTCTGAGCGCCGCGGGGCCCAGCAGTGCGGCTCAGCACAGCTTGGGACACACAGCCACACAGCATTCCCAACCAGCAGGACAAGCCTGGACAAAGCTCCCCTGTTAATGCCACAACAGAGAAAAACAGTACGTAGCATTTGACAGGTCTCCATTCATGTTGTTCAATGCTATCATATGAACATACTGTGAGGCTGAAGCAAAAAGCAGTGGTTTATGCTGTAAGCACTCTTGCTGTAATTTTGTGTCCATAATACACATGCTGTGTTTACACCACCACACTACAGAATTTCAGACTCTAAGGACTGCCTATGAAATAGATTTCTTTCTAGTCATATTTGAACATGTCATCAAAATTTTCTGGTATTTATCTACCACATCTCTACCTGTGCAAGTTTTCTGACTGAATTATTTTCACGGCTTAATTTTTTTCAGAAAGCAATTTTCTAAGAACTTGTAAAAGTGTCCAACGTTCTGGGGGAATACAAGCAGAAACATTTATTTCTATACACTCTGAAGAGGAAAACTGAAGCATTTTATTGAGAAAATATCACTGAATAGATACCAGTTGTTCCTTCTGAGGGTGAAAAATCCAGCAATGTGAATTACTCAGCACTATAGCTGTTTTTTGTATTTCATCTCACTGACAGCATCAGTGACAGAATGACAACCAAAAAAAGAGGGAGAAAGAGAGATAAAAGGACACAGAGATGTATTGCAACAACATTAGGTATACACAGGTTGAATATTGATGTGCTATGAGCATAGGATGATCTGGAATGACACAATCAGGAAAAGGCAATGCCAAGAAGGGCTTTTCTCCTTCTTATTAATTGATTATTCTCTTTGCTACCAGAGGGAATTTAGGCCAACACTGCTGCTTTCCTTTTAGAGACATGATGTACAGTAAAGGAGGATGTGGGGGGAAACACTGAAACAATTCAAACATCTACCTCCTTTTGTTTTACTTAGGCATTGCACACTGCCGTTGGTTTAATGTCTTACACGCTGCCTAATTGTGCCAAATTAACAAGACTCTCCTCTGCAGCAGCTAAATGCTGGCAGAACATAAATGGCTGCAAAAAAATGTGTAATATGTTCCACCTTCACAGTGGTCTAATGTATTAATAATTATGCAGAAATAAAATGTAATGTTAACTTCTTATGATAAAAAGGCATGTTAAACTGAGGACTTTGTCACAGTAAAAATCCCTTTGCTACTAAAAAGTGGTATTTTTTATGGTATAAACATTTGTCCCTTCCTCTGCCCCCTCTCCTCTTTGAAGCATCCTCAGTAATGGCAGAAGATTTGTATGTATTTTACAGCACAGGAAGTTTTACTAGGAGGGAAGGAGAGGGGGAGGAGTGACAAAAGTCCACATCACATGAGCCAAGGCAGGATCCACTTTCCAGACACATTCCCAAACTGCTGCATGTACGTACTGCTGCCTTCACACAGTGGCTCAAAGCTCCTTCTTCTCCCATATTGCCGATAGCACAACAGCAGCAGCAGTGATTTGCGTGTCTGAGCAGTCTTGCTTGCACAGAGAAATGCAAGGGGGAACATGTATGTGCTTTAGAAAGCTCCTTTTCAGTAAGAAGGCCAAGAACAGAGGAGGCCATTTCACTGTATAAACAGGCCTGCTCAAAGCCTGCAGCTGGCAGTGGATGGCAGATGGACGTTTTCTTTCTGTCACTGCTTCTCCCACCAAAGCAGCTAGAGAGAGGTTGCCAGGACGCCTCTGTCTCTGCCTACAGCCCAAGATAAATTGCACAGAGGTGGGTGAAGAGCAGCATGTTGAAGCAACTGAGAGCAACCTGTCTCCTTTCTGAAATACCTCTTCAGCTTCTACTTAGGAATATGCTGCATAGTAGAGTACATATTTTTTGATTTATTCATAAGTTGCACCCTTTTACTAGCTATTTTTAAATATGTATCTAAGCACTCTGCACAATCCCTAAAATCTAGTATAATTATTATGTTACCATTATGGTAAGCAATTCCCACAGTAATCAAAGGTAATAGATCACCATCATGGATATTTCTTGTCATTGCAATAAGATTTTCAAAACATTTGATGTAAAACCAAAGCCTAGTTTCTCAAATGCAAACAGATACTGCCAGTCTTTTTAGAAATTTTTCAACAGACAAACAAAGCTGTTGAATGAACTTAGATGTGCTCTGAAAAATACTGACTGGTCAGAGGGAACCAGATTTATTTTTAAACAGCTATTGAGTACTGAAATCAGCTTCATTCAGTGTCTGGTATTAAAGTGTACTCAGTAGCCTGCAATTTCCAAAAATCTTTTGGTATCTGAACTTTTATGAAAATGTTCCCATGACTGTGGCCACCAGGCTCTTCTGACATTTTGTTACAGCAGCTGCTTCCCTCCCTCAGATGCAACAAAACAAGCAAAAACCTTATATCCCTTTTCCTAGCATGCTTCCATATGACTTCTCCCTGCAGAACTCCTGGAGCACTGGAATAGTAGGGGCAGAGGAGCCCACCTTGAGGCTGGGAGCTGTTTTGCCCAGAACATTTTCTGACCCTTTCTCTGAAAGGCCTGGTCCTCCCATCACTTTCCCATTCAATTAAACAGTACTTTGATATGAAGAGGTGCTGATTTCAAACATTTCCTTGCTTGATTATGGCTTGCTCATCAGGAACAATTCAGTGACGGGGCTTGGATGGATTAACTTAGCTAACTTGCATATATATCTTAATGCAGACAAATGGGTTGTTTTGTTCTTATTAATACCAGCTATTATCTTTATTTCTGCTTTGACTCATATTCTGAACTTCAGTCAAGCAAGATTTCTTGACTGCAGAGCAAAGATGACTGAGAAATTAGTCTTTACAATTTAATGGAACACGTATGTGTTTGCCTCAGTCTGATAATGTATGCAGACTATTATCTTGGTAATAGTGGAAGAACAGCTTTCCTATTTCCAAATGACAGAAGGGGATAAACCAAGAGAAACTTGCATCATCCAGTGGATAAAGGACTGCTTTGCCCCTTTCCATTTCCACTTTCACATTGCAGAAATTAATGCATTGGTTTTGAAGTATTTAGATGACCTCAGATTTAGTAAAACAGTTTGGGGGATTTCTTTTAACAAAATGTAAACTTTGAACAAAATTTTACCTAGTATTTATTTGATAGGCAAATTTAGAGTTTCCATTTTGCACATAATACATTTCTGAACACTCTATATAATCTACAGTAATTGATATAAAAATTATAGTTGAGATCTACAAAATAAGTCCTAACAAATAGAGGATCCCCAAGAAAAATCTCCCATGTTGTATGCAAACAACAAAACACTTCTGCAAAGTCTGTGGGACATTTCACACGTCTTGTTGTCACCATGCCAACAAAGACACAGAGAAAGAAACCCACAACTGGTGACCAGATACTTGGAAATATTATACAATAAATATTGCTATTCTCAAATTTACAAAGAAGCTCATAACAAACCAACAAACTAGTACAATGAGAAAAGGCTATCTACCAAAACAAAAATATTTTCTTCAATAGGCATCAAAAGTAAAGTATATTTACTAGCAAAGAGAACTACTATGTAGGCATTTTTCACAGCTATCATTTTGATATAAACATTAATGTACTAAATTTGACAATGGAGTGTATTTGCCTGTTTTAAAGCTGGAAGTTAGAAAACATGAAACATGCTTGCCTCAGAATAGTAAAACAAATCACTTGAAAAATCAGTTATCTCTCCTTTCACAAAAATATGTGTTTGCATGAACATCAAAAGCCAAGCAAATTAAAAAAGAAAAGCAGAAAAAGGAAATTCTTACTTTAACTTCCACTGTCTTCCCACCTTGCTCGATATGCCTCTCAAGATATTCAGAAGACAGCAGGTCACTGCAGGAAGAAGAAAAAAAGAACCGTAAGCCTTGCGCATGTGTTCTTGCACTCCCTCTCAGCAAGAACTGATTAAACATTTACATTTGAAAAGGGCAAAAGCTGCAGGATACTTTTCCTAAAATGTTCATAAAATTCACTGAAACAACCATCTCCAATGGAGTTACACAGTACATGAAATACACTGATTTTTAACAGCAAAAGGTGGGATAAGGAAAACTGAGGGGAGTTTCTCCATGGAAAGTTCAGAACCAACCACTGACACTGATTGTAATTCAAGAGACTTTTCTATCTGCTGCTAAAAGCAAACAACATAGAAGTTAGGTGAACTTCAAAAAATGCAAAAAACCAGAAGTATGGGAAACCAGTTGGAATCTGAAGGAAAACAGCAGCTGTGTTGGCAGGCTTCAAAGGACACAATGGCACAACCGTGTCATGACCTGGTGAGGCCAACATGGTGAGCTCAGGTCCACAGAGCACGAGCAGGCAAAGCTGTGGGCCCCAGGAGCTGCAGCCCAGGCAGGCTCACAGCACAGGTGTACACACTCCCTGGGAGCCCTGAAGCTTTATCAACGCCAGAGGAAAAGGCTCTGGGCAATCCCAGCCTCCCAAGTACACAGGGACTTGGAACAAACACCAAGGAGAAAGAACAATCAGACCTGAGGCAAATATATATAAATTAAATGCAGACTGTATTTACCAAGCCATTCAAATGCTAAATCAGTCAAATTATCTTCCTCATAGTTATTTTCTAGTCAGGCAAATCAGAGAATCACAGAATTGGTAAGATTGGAAGAGACCACATTATCTACATCATAAATTTCACTAAGCATGTTCAAAGACTACAAAATTTTACTGAGATTAAATCAGCATAAAGTCTTGCTATTGTTCCACCTCAGTGACAATTAAACTGGAAAAGATAACAAATTGGTAAAGGAAACCTGACAAAAGGCAGGTTGGCCACCAGGGCAGGAGGCAGTGAGCATACACCTGCTCAGCATAAGAGGCAAAAATGTAGTATTTCTCCTCCAAACAGCAAAATACCTGAGCTTAGACATGAACTGACCTGATGAGAGAGGGCAGGAGCAGCAGAGCAGCACCGAGGGCAGTGGCTGCTCAGCTTTCCAGAGCTTCTCCCTGGCCAAACAGGCAACAGGACCATGGATGTTTTTGCTCACAGAGACATTGGTGACTCCCCCTGAGTGAGCCTTAAGCAGGACAAAGATGGAAATATGGGTCCTTCAATATCATCCCTAAAAATTACCAGCCTGATATCTGTATTAATTACTCAGGCACAAAACCCAGGAGCATTCCGATGAAATATGCTGATAATATTAAATTGGAAAGCATGGAGAATAAAAAAGATTGAAAAAACCCCCATAGGAAAGACCTGGATGATCTTCAGGTCTAGATATTTGAAATAGGATCAAATTCAAATGCACAAACAGCAAATTTATGCACTTAAGGGCTGTAGGGAATTTCTATTACATTTTTTGGAGGGCCTGGTTTATAAGGAAGAGAGACATGACCACACTAGTTTCTGGCAACGTGATTTGGCAGATCAATAGAATGTCTTCCTGGAAAACACAACTGTCATCTCAGAATACATCAAAGATGTATTTCCAGTCAAACTGAGGTATGATTAATATCACTGCCCAAAGGAGATCTTTTTTCAAATACTGCAGACAGGTACTGGACAGTTTTACTTACTAAGTTCCATTACCTGGGAACACAGAGAGGCTCCTGAAGTCTAGCCAAAAATTGAGCTGCGGATGAATGTGAATACACCACTGTCTACACACCAAGATACAAAGGCAACTAATTAGGCCATAGGAGATACTGGCAGAACCTCAAAGGTGTAAGGACTGTCAATGAGCCAGTGGAAACTGGATGTTAAAAAGATAATACTTTGTATCTAAGTGTAAGGGACGCAGGCAACAAAATTAGGGATGCTAACAAATTTCTGAATGGGAGCATCCCTGGGACAATCATGGAGGTGGGGTTTCCTCTGACTCAGTGAGTTGACAGCTGGTTGCTGCTGGAAGCAGGAATTCTCAATGCCCCCTCAGGAGCAAGCTCTGAACCTACCTTGTGTCAGCACAAACACTCACCAAAACACTCTCCGTGTCAGAGCTAACACTCATCAAAAGACCCTTGGTGTCAGCACTGGCATTCATCAAGGTACACTTGGGAGGGTTCAACAAAACCGTGGTTTTGCTGCACTGGGTAACTGAAATCCCTTGAGAAGAGCTGCAATCAGCTCCAGAGCTGATGCAAAGGAGGGAATGAGCATCTCTCAATAAGGATGAAAGAGCGAGTGACTCCCTTGGCCACGGCAGAACCAGCATGAACCCCTTTAATTCTGGTCAGGCCCAATATCTACATTGAAGCTTTGCACAGCTGCCTGCACATGAGCCATTATTGAGGAGCACCTAAAAGAGATGCTGTTGAGTTATTGATTATAACACTCTGATTCCTCTTAGAAATTAATATTAAATATTTAGGATATTCATGCCCTGAGAGAAGCTCAAAGACTTCTATGGGGTCTTGTATGCATTTTCCAGATTTAGTAATTTAGACAGATGTTCTCTGAAGATATACTCAGTTTAGCTTGCTGAAGTTAGTTAGATCGTTTCCCAGCACTCACCACACTCTTTCAGCAAAAGTTTATGCTTCCATAACTTTAATAAAGACTCATTTATAGCTTCGGGCTCTACTTTTACTCTTCATTATTTCAGGGGGACTCAGTTAAACTAATGTCATCCTCCTTATCGGGTGGACACAAAGGTTTTTGTGCCAAGAAAGATGCAATAGATTATAAAATGTAAGATAGTAAAGTAAGTATATAGTACAAACATGGAGATCAAACAGAATGGCTTAACTTGGGGAGGCTTTACAGTTGTATTTGGAGGGATGACAAGGAGAAACACAGGTTCTTTTCATGGGGGTCTAACAAAATTACTGCTTTTTAAAGGATACTGCTGTTAATGTTTTAATGTTCTGGAAGATCATATGTTCTCAAAAATCTGGAAATTGTGTCTGGCATGGGAAAACAAAAACATTGATCATTCTCTGCCTTGTACAACACAAGAATTAGAAGGTAACAAAAGAGGTCAGTAAGCTCAAAACTAATTAAAAAGAAACTTTTCTGGCATAGCTGCTGATTACAGTGTTCAACATATTGCAGGAAAGCATGAATGCTAGAGGTCTGTACTGGTTCAAGCTGGGAATGGACAAGTTAGTGGATGTGGCTGGGAGCTGCCAAACACACAGACAGTGTACCTAACTCCAAGTGTTGGAGTCCTGGAAAAGAGCTCTGGAGAAGTCTCATACACGTTTTCTCAGCTCTTCCCCTTTTCCCTCACACCGTGGGCCCTGGGCTACTGGGAGTGGCCAAGTGCCCCTCTGACCTGGCCTGGGTTCTCTGCCTGCACCTTGCAAGGGTCCTGTTTCTCCTCAGGATTGAACAGTGTCCTGTGGCATCCAGCTCCAGGGCTGCTGATGACCGGACAGCTGCTCTTCTCCCACCCACCACCCCAGGGATGGACATACCCAGCTGTTCAAGTTGTATTTGCTTTCAAAGTAGACCAAAAGAAAAATTCCTGAACAGGTCCATCCATTTTGTCTTCCTGCTCAGTCCTCACTTTGAGGACAAAAGGGCTGGAAACAGCTGGGGAGCTGCTGGCATTCCCACCCCTCTCAAGGACTGTCACAAGTGCCTTGATTCCCGAACTGAGCCTGTCTGGAAGGGAAACACCACGAGGTCACCTGCCTGCACAGCTCCTGGGGACTGAGCCCACAGCTTGCAGACAGACCACAGATCTGAAATGTAGAGACAATTCTAAAGCCTATCTTAAGTAACATGGCAGGATACATCTAAGAATATTTTATCAGTAGAAAACCCCATAAATGAAGTCATGTTATGCTTTATTATCATGATTCACAGCACTGAAAATATTAAAAACACAACACTCTTGTAGATCCAATAACACAACCAATGCTATTAAAAACTAAGCTACAAACTCACCATTATACATAATCTTAAAAACTCAGGCCAAAAGGCATCACCTCCTAGGTGGAGTCATGTTTTGTCTGCAGTAACAGTACAGGCATAAAACTGCTAAATTTTAATGGAAGACCTTCCTTTAAAACAAACAAAAATCTAGATTAAAATACTTGTGAGACATGATTAAAATTATTTAAGCAAAATAATACAATAATCATTAAAATAATATGTATTTCAATATAAATAAATAAAAAACAACTTTCCTATGGTAGAAATAAAATGGAAATAATTTAGCTTGCCTGCTGATCTATCCTAGAAATCACCTTTGTCAGTTTAAGTGGCAGTTTTAGTATTAATTATAAATAAAGCTGGCATTTAAAAAAAAAAATGGTGAAAAAAATCTTAGAAACACAAGGGATGGAGAAAATTGCAGAGAAAAAAAACACCAACACTCTAACTGACAACACTGCAGAATGAGATTTTCAGAAATATTTGCTGAGGCATTGGTACAAAATTTTTGAAAAGGCATGGCAAAAACCATGCATATGTTAAGACTTAAAAATAAAACATTTCACAGGAAAAAAAAAGCACATGTGATCTCTTGCTTTTACAAGGAAAAACACTGCTATGCTAATAATGGCAATTCTCTTGTCAGAGGTCTGTTATTTCAGTGTACACAAATTAAGAATCATTTTGTTTATAGCAGCAGCATTTTTGAAGCATTATCTAAAGTCCATATGAGCCTATCCCATATGGACTCAATAGCACAAGGGCCAGAACAAAAAAAATGTGCAAGCTCCTTTCTGCTCTTCCAACCTTCCCAGTCACACAAGAGGCAGAAGCTGGGGGAATTTTATTACAGCATAGGCCCCCAACTAAGGAAATTATCCTTATCCAGGATCATGCATATACACACACTTAAATTCTACCTTGAATCAGCTGTAGCAGTTATACATGAGGTTTACCAAAACAAGCTTGGGATTCGGAACCCAGG